TTCCTGAATGTTTCTTTGTTTTTAATTTTTTTTTAAATCTAGTTTGTTGATTGATTTCTTGGTAGGTGGATTGTAAATTTGGTCTGCTTCAATGTTTATATCCAACTCTTTACAATATTCCCATAACTATCATGTTCTCTTCTCAAGTCATAAAAATAAATGAATGGTACGTTCCAGTATCAAAAAGGGGAAAAAAACATAAAAGGAAAAAGTCACTTCCATGTCCATTTTGTACCTGTTCATTCTCGTCAATCCAAAAGCTTCTCATATTACTTGTGAGGTGTAACTTGTTCAAAATTATATTGACGTAGGCGCTGCTTAATTCATTCAAGAAATAAAATTTATTAACAAATGATGGACACATGGGCATTTGTTGTGGCAGGAACAGAGCATTTGATGTGACGAAATATATAAGGGCGTTGATATTTATAGTGCTATATGATACGTGGCATTATATTGTTGCTTTCATTAGTGATCTGTTAGAGTGTAATAGTTGGTTATAACACATGTTTTAGTTACTAATCAGTTAAGATACAGCTCACTGTATAAATACAGCCGTTCGTGTATACTGGGACTTGTTGAATAAAGTATGGATATCAGTTTCCTTTTCTCTCTCTCCCCCCCCCCCTCTCTCTCGACCGGCCTGTACCAATTTGGTATCAGAGTTGCGTCTTTGGCAAATGGCTCTAGAGATTCGATCAAGCGAACGTTATCATGAATTGGAGCAGCGATTAGAGTTGAATGCTGCTGTGGTCGAGACGTTTAGAGCAGAATACTGCAGATATTGCCGGTTTGAAGAGTTCCATGAGCAAGATTGAAGCGTGTTTGCAAGATTTGAATGGGTCTCTTACACCTTTGATTCATCACGGTCAGGAAGATCAAGCTGGTAGTTCATCGAGTAGTTTCAATCTTAACAAGCACGTCTAGTTTGGAACCCTCCATCATGTTTCCCAATCCTATGCGCCACCGACTAAACAGAGTTGCATAGAGTTTCCTCGCTTTGACAAATCAGATCTCTGAGGCTGGTCATACAGGTGCCGTCAATTTTTTGCTATCGATGGTCACCTATGGAACGTCGTATTCGTTTACTGAGCATCCATTTGGAAGGAAAGCATTGAAATGGTAGCTCAATTTTATGAAAAAAGCCAAGAAGAATAAGTATCTTGGGACGATTATTTTGATCAAATGGAAGCTCATTTCACAGAAATCAAGCACATTAATCCGATGGTCCAGCTTAAACAGTTGCAACAGGCAACTTCTTCTGGTGATGAGTATATTGAGACTTTTCATGATTTGCTCACCGGCGTGTACATTCCTGAGGAAGTTTCGATGCATTGTTTCTTAGGAGGGTTGCGTACTGATCTCCAAGCATGTGTAACTGCTTTTCGGCCAACGGTCTGGCTAGAATGGTGCAGATGGCTCGTATGCAAGGATATAGCTGCGGGTTCGCGACTGCCCTGGACTCTTCGGTCTTCCCAGACTCAATTCCCTTCCACTAATTTTGGGGGTCAAACATCATCTTACTCGGCAGCGAAAGCCTCTTCTACACAAAACCTTCCTCCTTCTACTTCTTCGTCGTCTGCTTCGGTAAAGAAGCCTTTAATGGCATTGTCCAAAAAGGATATGGAAGAAAGGCGTTGTAAAAGCCCCTGCTGTTGGTGTAACGATAAATGCACCTCATCTCATGTAACATACCGAATTTTCTAACTTAAGATGAGCAGGAGAAAAAAAATTATTAAAATTATTTAATGGCCAAAAAAAATTAAGAAAAATTATGGAATATTGATTTTCAAAGTTTGGAGATATTTTGGAAGAGTTATATCTCTAAAACTGGCTTAAATAATTTTAAAAGATAATTCCAAGAGAAAAATGGTTCATTTTTTCAGAAAATTATGGAAAAATACTTAGAGATTTATATTTAATTTGAAAATTTTAGGATAATCATTTGAGATAGTAAAGAAGGTCATTGAGGCATAAAATCCTTAAAATGAGTTAAGGATTAATTTTTGAAATTAAGGGCTATTTTCTTGGAAAAAAATTACAGGTCACATAAAAAAGGAGAAATTGAGGATAAATTCCTCATTACAAATTTAAATGCAAATAGTCCCTAAGATGATTGATTGCACAAGAGAAGATTAGTTACACATAAAGAAAGGTAAGTTGTACAAAAAGAAGATGGTTTACACGAAACATTATTTGAATATAAGAGATTAATTTGCACGTAAGGAAGATAAGTTGCACATAAGAGAATTTTATTTGCACAAAGAGAAATTAAATTACACACAAAGGAAGTTAAATTGCACACAATAGAAGTTAAGTTGTACAGAGTCCTTAAGTCCCATTTGCTAATTAAATTTTTAATGAGGGATTCATCCCCAATTTTCCCCATAAATAAAGCAACTTTGAAATGGCATAATGGTGAGATAATTCACGCATTTTTATCAGCATTACAAGTAGGTGTCTAGTACATTGTTTTGAGAGGTTTATTTTCTTATGTCTTGTTTTTATTTGTATTACATGGAGAGGCTAAAAAGCTTGTCCAAGTAAGTTTATTTTACCGTACAAGTCTTGAAACCCTACCAAGAAAATTGGAAATGAGTTCTCTAATATCGTTGCAGCTTTCAAAACAGGAATAACTCCATTCAATATAGCTAGAGCCATTAAAAGGGGCCAAACTCATTGGGTCAGCTTTTTTGTCAGGCCATTTGGTTTCGTCACTAGACCATGAGGTATGTTTGTCTTCTTCTTCAACGGAGAAATAAATCTGTGAACAAATTTTATTTATTTTTATTTTTAAATGCTTTGTTTCTTTGTAATCTATACATCAATAAGTTATATGCCAAAATCTTCTATTTCTATTTAATATCAATACTAAATCAATTCATCTTATTCGTTTATTCTTCATCAGCCCGCGGGTGCATCCAAATTGAAGCTTTCCAAACTTCCTTCTGTCTCTGCTTCATCCTCCACTCTAGCTAGGAGTGGAAATAAGCCAGGCGGCCTGTCAGGGGTTTGTGGTCTGACCTGTAAATGGCTTGGCCTAACCTATTTAGATATTAGACCAGGCTCAGGCCTGTAAAAAGACTTGTTTACTTTATAAGGCCAGGCTCAGGCCTGATAGTAAGCCTGTTAGGCCTGTCAAGCGGCTTGGGCCTGTTATCTTTTTTTTTTAGGTTAAAATTGTAAATTGATAGAAGGGAATCTGCTATTCTGATTGGTTAATTGAGAAAACTCTATCCACATAAACGTATTATCTAGAGCCTATTGCATGCTTCATTTTATTTCTATTCTCTATAATAAAAATAATTGATGTATGTATAATGACACATATTTGAACAGAGAAAGAAAACATAAGTGCATTAAAAAAAAGCATCATTCATTTATTTGATCCATGCTTTTCATATTAATCTTATATAGAATATGTATATATATATAGAGAATTGACCTATTATGTTTTAGACCGTATATATGTGTGCTCAATCTAATTCTTATTATAATAGTTACTTAATTAATTTAAATTTTAAATTAGAATAATTGTAACATTTTTTTTAAAACAACCATGTGTAACAAAAGGATCAAATATCGTTTTGTTAGTAAATTAGTTTGAATAAATGATAAATTTAAAATATAAAAAGGATTAAGGATGTTTCATATTTTAAACTAGATCTAGTCATCAACTAATTTTTATACTAGAGATGGGATGGAGTGATATTTTTATATCGGAGTGAAATTATGTTTTCTAATAATTTTTCATATTAGATTTTTTTTTGGGCATAAGGGGATATGTTTTACAAATTGTATTAATTTGATAATTTCATATTTTTTTGTTTGTATTTTAGATCAATTAGGTTGAATTATTGTAATTTTGAATTGATTTATATGTGTTTAAAATTTGTTAAAAAAACAGACCTCTTAATAGGTCACAAGTCAGATTCAAGCCGATTAAAAGGTCTTTCACAGGCCTCAGGCCAACAGGCCTCACCACAAGCCAGGCCTGTTAAGGGTGAGGCTTAGTCTGTTTCCACGCCTAACTCTAGCTAATTCACTACTGCAAAATATAATTATTTTAATGTCTAAATTCGCGAAGTAAAAATATAGTCAACGACATTTTTATAAATAAATTAACTAATTTTTTAAATTTCCACATCAGTCATTGATGAAACTTGTTTGAAACAATTATATGAATGTGTGTACGAAAATTTCAGCTGACTATTATATCACTGACGACAATTTTATTTTAATTTTTTTATGTGTCTACTTCGCTTGTCTTGACCATCTCTTCATTAATGTCCCAGTGATGAGAAAGTTAGTGACAATAAAACTAGAAAATATATACGAAATATTTATCAGAATATATCTATCATACCCCCGAAAAATGTACATTGCACGGAAAAACATTTAATAGGGATAAAATGTGAAAAAAAAATGTTGAATTAAAAATTATTTAAATTAAAAAAATTAAATAAAATCATAAATTATTTTTTTTGGGTAATAAAATCATACATTAGTGTGTTTTTATCAATAATACGCATTGTATATTTTATTTTATCATCACTAAAACAGGAACCTTATACAAGGCCAAAAAAAACAGGAACCTTATATATATATATATATATATATATATATATAATATCAAACCATGAATATTTTTTCAGAGGCAGAAATCCAACAAATCATTACTTCTAAAGAATCATTTGGATTATTGGACATATCAAAAGCTTTATCTGGGCCTACTATAGCCCAATTAGAATACTGACCCAATTATATGATCCAACATGTTTACTCGAATGAATTTAGCTCATTTAGTCAAAATTTGACTAAACACATATAGCAGACAATAATTGAGCCGCCATTGAATTTCCATGCAGAAATTTTATTTCATTCATTTTTTTTGTATTGTTACAAATATTAATTTTATTGACCTTAGCACTATTTTAATATAATTTAGGCAGAGGGAAACACGAAGAGCACGAATAAATGAATATGACCAAGGAGGGGAGTGAACATTCCATAAAAATTAAACATGGAAGAGTTGGAAAATTAGCCAAAGATTCATTCTCTCAGTCCAAATCGGCACATCTGAAAGCAATAGAGCAGCACATTGGTTGACCTCGGTATTCTCTCATTTCTTGGCTATCCATGGCTTGCTCTCAGTTTCTTTGCAGTAACTACTCCTCTACTTCTCAAAATTCGTTCAGAAGAAACCATCAACGTCAATTCGGATATGGGTCGTGCAATTTTGCCTCAAAGATTCAATTTCAAAGAGCCCCGCTCGTTAGATTTAAACTTAAAGCTATGGTTTCTGATTCTAACGCCTCCAGGAGACGAGTAGAGGTTTATCTCTTATCCCTTTTGGTTGCTATGCTTTGGATTAAAGTTCCGGTGTGGCATTTAATGAAAGGGATGGTTTGTATTTGTATTTATTTGTTCTTGTTTTTGTTTTCTTTAATGTTGGCGGAATTAGATTGTGTATGATCCTGATGAAAGGGTGAACAGTCTGGCTGATGAAGTGGACAAGAATGCTCCCCTTTCAAGGCTTACTTTGTTCTCTCCTTGCAAGGTATTTTTCGTTCTTTTGCTAGGAGGCACTCCAAAGTTCTCATTTGTTTCAATATATTGATGCTGGTTAACCGTCTACTACAGATAAATGTTTTCTTGAGGATTACCAGCAAGAGGGTAGATGGATATCATGATTTGGCGTCTCTATTCCATGTAAGTTAATTATAATCGTAATCATATTCTATTATATGATTCAATGTTTTCTCTGAAAGATTTTGTCATATATATGGGAGATGACTTCATTTAGTCTTGACCATATCAGATTCCTTTCGAATTTTCAGGTTATAAGTCTTGGTGATACAATCAAGTTCTCTTTGTCACCATCAACAACAAAGGACCGTTTGTCCACCAATGTGTCTGGGGTGCCCATTGATGATAGTAATTTGGTAAGATAACAAAAGCTAATGCTTTGGTTTCAAAATTATTCCTCTTTTTATTGCTTGTTCATATTCTACCGAGAGTGAGTGCTATGTTATTCTCTTTCCACAGATTATTAAGGCGCTTAATCTTTACAGGAAGAAGACTGGCAGTGAAAAGTTTTTTTGGGTATGACCTAGATATCCCATCTAATTCGTGTTGTTTATCTTATTTTCAGTACAAGCATGCGTGTGTGTGCTTATTAACATACATTGTGCATGGTAGAATATTTAGGGTCCATTTTGTTGCTTGGGTCAAGACTTAAAGAATGGGAATGATGTCTCCATTTTGTTTTAATATGTTGGCTGCACATATATCTTGGTTCATTCTCGTGAAAGCCCAATATGACGAATGTGGGAATCTAGACACTCGTGGAAAAGCTCATGAATCAGGACTCCTGACCCCAAGAATTATCATTTGAACTAAATTATCCATCTTACCTTTTAACCATTGTTGAACTATCTTCCTTTCCATTTTAGTCACTTTTTTTTTCCCTTAAATTTCTTTTCCACTGCTCCATTTTCATCCATTCCAATAACGAAACCGCCTCCTAATTTGTCCTGCCTATATTCATGTTCTTGGCAGATTCATCTTGATAAACGAGTGCCTAGTGGGGCAGGGCTAGGTGGTGGAAGTAGCAATGCTGCAACTGCATTGTGGGCAGCAAATCAATTCAGTGGTTGTCTTGCTACAGAGAAAGAACTTCAAGAATGGTCAAGTGAGATTGGATCAGATGTCCCTTTCTTTTTCTCTCAGGGAGCAGCCTATTGCACTGGTCGAGGTGAGGTCTGTCCAATTTCCTTTCCCGGAAAAATTTTTGAGAAGAGGCTTGGCCATGGAGAGTTTGAGCTCTCAATTATCTCCTTGTCTAGCGACAAAATATTATTATCACAAATCTCAGGACAATTTGATCTTTGAGACTTTGAAAACTCTGTGCATAAACTTGTGTTTACTGAAGGCTCTGCAATGCTTTATGCCATATGCCTCCATGTGATTTCATTTAAGACTTTTCTTTCATATGCACAGGTTGTTCAAGATATTCCTCCTCCAATACCTTTGGATATGCCGATGGTTCTCATAAAACCACAAGAGGCATGTTCAACAGCAGAAGTTTACAAGGTACAGGATTTCTGGGTGTAGTAGACAAACCATAATTCGCTCTTGGTTTTTGCTATAATTAGATTGTGGACCTTGTGCACTGAATGAAGCCTCATATAACAAGTCACACTATTCACAGCTTGCAAATAGTGTGGCTTGCTATGGGTTTTAATATCACATAGATATATATTGATCAATTTAAACAAATTTCGATGGGACAGCGTCTAAAATTGGACCGGGCTAGTAATGTTGATCCTTTGGCACTGCTGGAAAAGATATCAAGGAATGGAATATCGCAAGATGTTTGTATCAACGATCTGGGTATGTTTCTTGCTAAGTGTTTTTAAGTTTTAATCCTGTTTCTTTTTCCTTCTTTGCTCTTTTCATTTTAGCTTTACATTTTTATTTGACCCTATTGAGCATTACTTTACTGAGAGGTGTAATTGTGGAGGCACCCGGAGTCCAATTTGATTAATTGGGATTGTGACTTGACATTAATATTGAGTTATGCCCGCTGATTAGGGGTTGTTTTAGGTTGTACCACTGTAAGTGCAAATTATTCATTTCTATAGTTGACATTTTGGAAGTTCTTTACGTTTGTTCCTGAGTTACATTTAGAAGCATCACAGCATAAGTTAAGGCTTAAAATCTGCTGTTGTCTTTGAGTGCTTTCGCTTGTTCGTTTCCATTACTTTTTCCTTGATTATTTTCCTTGCTCTTGCAGAACCCCCAGCATTTGAAGTTCTCCCGTCTCTTAAAAGACTGAAGCAGCGAATTATTGCAGCTGGTCGTGGAGAATATGATGCTGTTTTAATGTCCGGAAGGTATAAAAATGGAAACCTTAATTTTCTGGCTTTTGTTAAAAGTTAAATATATGTGAATCATGTGATAGAGATCATCATGCATGCACAGACATATACAATCTATGTGCGCTTGTGTGTCTGGGCAATGTGAGGCTGAGCATTCTTCAAACGTCAGCACGATTGAACTTGATATACAGTAATGAAGCTGTTTTCAATTTTCAATCACCAAGTCGTGTTGAAGAAAACGTTTGATCATGAAATATACTTTAGCATCTGTCAAAATTTATTAAATTTCTCCTCTAGATTCCAGTCGTAAGATAAGCAGAGATTACAATTGGATGAATTCTGGGCAGATGGCTAGAAACTAGATAAGGGCATAAGGCATTTGGCGGTTGATCTGACTCATTTATTCTTCTAGTCTAACATCATGATAATTTATTTTTTGATATATATATATATATATATATATATTACATATGAAAGCACAGAAACAATCATCAAACAAATTTGAGTATATTCCTCCTTGATTTTGCCAATGCTGTTCATGAAATTGAAGGAAGAATCTTTTAACCCCCATTTCCTTGCTTTCAGCTGGTTGGATGGAGTTTATCCTTGTGCATTAAGCTAGATTTACGTTGCAAGGCTTGAAAATAATACTCCTCCGATCTTTAATATAGGACCCGATTGTTGAGATAGTTTTGTGCCTAAATATAACACCAATTTCTCATATTTATCAATTTTCTCTAAATTACTCTTATGGATACTCCCTCAACTATAATCAAGTAGAAGAGGAAGAGGGGGTATTAAGAAAGATGATTATGGTATTTTAGGAAAAACGTGTCATATTTCTTATAATTAACTAACATACCTAGCTTCCTTAATCTAATCAAATTAGCTAAATAGGTCTTATATTAAGGACCGAAGGAGTAAAAGGTTTTGGAAGAATCATTAAACATTGCAAACCTTTCCTTGTTTCCAAGTTAACGTGAGACAAAAGCTATTGTTTAAATAAATAACGTACCAGCTCTCCTGATGATGATCTGAGAGACAAACCACAGTTCTAGAATGGAATGTTTAGAACTATTAATATTAAATCCATAAAAATGGAGCATTGCACTTATTTCTAGATATACTTTCTTCCTTCTATATCGATTTCAATGGTCTCTGCATCTCCTTTGTCAGTACATGTTTCATATCTCTTCTTCATGCTTTCTCTTTGTCATCTGAGGTTCAACTTATAATGGAACCATTAATTACCTCTCGTTCTTGCTTCAAAAGTTGAAACCTCTATTCTTATCCCTTTTCTAATCATGCAGTGGAAGCACTATTGTTGGCATTGGTTCGCCAGATCCTCCACAATTTGTCTATGACGATGATACATACAAAGATGTTTTCTTGTCAGGTATGCCCCATCAGATAAGGATTTTTTTTTTCTTTTTTTTTGGGAGGGGGCCCTGTTTCTCGTTCTTTATCGTGATAAATTGAAGGGCCCAGACTCCAAAAGCGTATCCCATAATTAAACTAAAATCAGCTGGAAACATCACCTAAATTCACCTATAAGTGGCGGCAAAAAATTTTATCAAGAAAAGCGAGAGATCTGCTAATTTTTAAAAAATGTGTACAAATATACTGGGCAGTGATGCTAGATTTTGAAAGAAAGGGATAGAACATATATGTTATGGCGGCTCATGAAATTAATGAGCTCCGGCGGTAGCTTATCAAATTATAGAGTAGTACGCGAAAGTACTTTCTCTGATTTGCGTCTGGCATACTGCAAAATTATGATAATCAGTCATTCCAGAGGCACTTATTTTTGTACAAGTATGATTCCCTCATCTCATTTATCACTTTTGAAGCTGACAATGAAATACGAGAAAGCTTTAGTCATTACCACTAGCTTAGCCCTTTATTCATGGAAAATAGTGAACTTAGCATCGGACATAAATCTTCAAACACTAATAAAACTCCTGGTTAACAAAATAAACGTGGAGCTAAACTCTTGCACTTTTTGAAGTTTTACAAATTAGTTGTTTCCTCAAATAATAGATTTGATCTTTTGGGGATCTCTCACCTAAGCTTTTTAAATTGCAGATGCCTACTTTCTCACTAGAGAGGCTAACCAGTGGTACAGAGAACCTACCTCAAGTCCTACCCCTCCATCCTATTCTTCTCAGACTGCTTAGTTCGTTTTTTTTCCCCCATTTCCATAGGCTCTTCATGGTTATACAGTATCTGCATATTTGTAAGGATGTAATGATGTGAAACTTAGCTCTGCTGCCTTTTCTGCTTTAATTGCTGCGACTTGAAAACGATACGGCTCGTGCCAAAATGCAAGGATCTGGATCCTCTGCTGCTTTGCTTCGGTGCTGCTGTAATTATTAATTTCTTAATTTCATGAGAAAAGTACACAAGTACGCTGGCCTTTTTCTACAGCAGCAGCAGATGATCCGGATCCCAAATGCAAACACTTGGAAGTTGGAAGAGACAAAGGCTGGCACTATTATGCATCAATACCATGGCCCGCGAAGAAAGTGAGAAGTAAATTCTATAAACTTGTCTGGGTCCGATATGCTCAAGGACCCTTCCAATCTCAAGTGGAAAAATGGTGCTTATAATTGTGACTTGGTTAATAGTCCGGTTTCTGAATTTTAACTTTTTATGACTCACTTCCTATTGTTTAACATATAATCCATATATTTTTAGGAATCAATGTTTTAAATGATTACAATTATAGGAACTGAATTGAGTTAAAAATCAAGGATTAAGTTACAAGTAGGTCAAAATTATAAGGTGAAAATTAATTGTCCCCATTCTTAAATGAAACAATATAAGAATTCTAAGGATAGAGAATATTGTCACCTCCTGATAAGGTGCTTATCTTTTTTGCTGCCCCGTTTTATGATGAATGTTATTGACGCAACTTTGAGAACCCAATATAATACATTTAACATATTCAACAAGGCGATTGTTAAGGAGGGGAAAAAATCGTACTTCGTCTTTTTAGGTATAACTCAAGTATTCTGAAGCCTTGAGATTATATAATATTTCCGTCCTCAGACCCTTAAGGTTAAGCCTTCTCATGAGAACCAGATTTACCGGTTTTATCATTTTTTGAATGAGTTCTCTTTGCTTTGTTACAACTTGACGTTACTGCAAGTCGCTTGCTATAGGCAACCGTATTCTGTGCGAATGCAAGAAAAGGGTTCTCGGCTGATGGTTTATCACCAACAAACGACTTTTTTAGCATAAGAACCAACATCAAATCCACACACATTTCAAATGTCTTCCTTTCATTTTTTATTTAGTCGACTTCTCGCTACTCTCATTCTACAGAGAAGGAGAAGAAACAAACTGTCTGGGTAAACTAAAAAGATCTTTGCCTTCAAATGGCGAACTCCACTCCCGAGACCCAGCACTGGAGGATTCTGCAGAAGCTACCCCACCATCTTGCAATCCAGGCATGGGGACTAAGCTACCATTTGAGGCTACTGATCTCATTGACGGCTGAGTGACCATCCCAGAGGTATTTGAATCGTAAATATGACTATGACCATTCTTTGTAAAAGGTGAAAGACCAAGCCATAATGCATTTGACCTCGGTGATGATACCCCTCTATCCAAGGACCAGTCTATGCTGGTGTAATCAAAGTGCATTGATCCACCAGTGCTCCAGTCCACCGGAGATGACGCCCCTGATGTGGCAGCCGATCCTGATCCAGAAAAGAGACCTAGAGAAAGCAGCGGCTAATGTTGGAGATGTACTTGCTCTATAACATAAGCTGTTCCCTCGGCTGGTTACTTGGGGATCTACTGAATGGCTGCTTGCAGTGACAAATTGATGCTGGGGTTGATACTGGAGTTGGTGATACATCTGATTTGAACTGAGATAATTTGGACTGAGACTTCTAGTGCTGGGAGGGCGGGGTAAGAAGCCATTTGACCTCATTACTTCCGCACTATTGGTTGGATACCAACTGGCGGCTATTCCAGGAGGAGATGAACTCATACTTGTGGCTGGAACGTGCTTTGCATTTGCAGTTTGAGGCCGCTGCATCACAACTACTGGTTCCCTAGCTGCTCCAGGTTGAAGATTTTTCAAATCACCTCCAACAGCCATATAACGACCTTCAGTCTTAGCAGGTGTGGGGGACACCTGCAAAGGTGATGCTGAAGAATATGACACGGAAAGATTAGACCCAGCACTTGGCCACCTCTTATCAGCTGCAAATAATAGGTTGCTGGGGTTTTGCCCACTCTGTCTTTGATTGAATTCTCTTTAGAGGTTGAATATTTTATTACTGGATTCCAAAGATCCTCCAACCATAACTGGTGACTTCGTATAGTTAAAATCCCTTTCATCTTTCTTTAGTTGAGTGGGGTTAAGACTGGGCTTTGTTTGGGGCCTAGCACTCTGACTAGCAACTCCTAACTGCTTACCATTATTAAGAGTAGGTGGATCCCCAGTTTCCTCTGGCTTTTGAGGAGCAGATGGTGGATCCTGCTTCAAGTCTCTCAAGGACTCTGCAGCTTTATCAAGATCACCTTCACATGCAACAACTGCTCTTTCAACCTCTTGTTTTGAGCAACAATACCTGGTTTCCATGTCTGCAATCCGAGCAAGCTCTTCAGATATGTCAAATTTCAGACTGCTCCCACCTATTTGTTTATCTTTTGATTATCTGCTTCTTCACCGCCCTCAAACAGCCAGTTAACTGATTCCTCAACCCTCCCTTCATTCAATATCAGTGCCATTGTTGCCCGTTCATGAGAAAATCCCATTGCCACAAGCTGTTGAGCAAGCACCTCAAGTTTCTTGACATTAGATAGCCACTGCAACGCTCATGCAATTCTTGAGCTCGCCTTTCCTTCTGCCGTTGATGTTTTCTCTCATTCTTCTGGCGAATTTTCTCTCGCTTGTCATTATCAGCTCCTGGTACTGCTTCTAATCTGACAGGTAGATTAGAACCTTTTTCTTTATGATCCTCTGACTCACCAGACCAACTACCATTATTAGAAACAGAATCATACTCAGCACCAGCTAACACTGAACCCCCAGGATGATCATCTGTCTCATCTATGTTCCGGAACCGACCATTAGAATGAACAGGAGAGGTAGAAGATGCTGGTGAAATTTCAAGAGTATGGAATGTTCCTGATAATGGGTTGTATGCACTGGCAGGCAAACCAGTACCTGCATTATTAGGTCCTGGAGATTTAGCAGATGCCTTCTGGGCTTCCTTGCTCCCTTTTTGGACTTAGATCGAGATCCAGGAGACATGTCCTTAAAATGCAAATAAGACCCTACAACAATGAGATATATAAATTAGCACTTCCCCCCTTTGAAACTGGACCCTAGATTTGGTAGGGTTAAATTGTCACAAGCAAATACAGCCATAAAAGAAAACAAAACTATCTCCTTCACAATGTATATTTGGTTGACATCACCAACCTATGTGGACAGATCTCTATTACCAATCAAGCGTTCGCTTACAAGATGAAAAAGAACAATCGTGTACAAAGTATGGTATAAAAAGAGAGCAAAATGTGACAGCAACACCCTGGTTTAAAGCATCTGAAATTAAATTAAGAGCAAGGACATAAACATGAACAGGACAATCCAAGGAAGATAAAAGTTAACACAATAGCATGAACATTACTTAAAAAAGCTGTTGACATACAAGTAACATATAAAGAAAACCACATAGATCATGCTTGTCCATTGTTCCATATAGTCAGCTACAACTTAATTGTTTATTATGTTGCTCTTTCGGAATAGAAATTCACATTATGACTTATCATACATCAAGTTACCAAATTAGACCCAGAGTACTTTGTTGAGAGCTAGATATGCAACAGCTGAAGTTTCAAGATAGTCCCAAAGTTATTGGTGGAGATGGAAAGATAGAGTGGTATTTTTCCAGTTGAACAAAGTCAAACAGCAATACAAGTAGTAGCCCACACAACAAAAAGAAACTTATTTAATGCCCATTCTTCTCGAAGAATAATTTACCTATCTACTGCTCCCCTTCATATCATACAAAGAGGCAGTAGCTTTCACCTCCCAAAAAACACATTTTGCCTCAACAGCCATTCAAAATTTCGTATGCATCAGCCCCCTCAACCGAAAATAAACAAAGCGGCATTGCATTTCATTCAATTCAAGATGACCTAGCTCGCACTTGTATGACCATATTCTAAGCATAAGAAACACGAGGTCCAACAATCAAATAAACAAGGTCTTGTGTTGTTCAACCGATTGTGGCACATTCAATATTTCTCCATATCTCTGATTGTCAGGCGTAAAACAGAAGCCAATGTTGCCGCTATAATATAAGCAACCTAGAGAATGAATGTACTTTAAACAAAAAAGGAGTATCTCAACGTAAAAACTTTTAAATGCAAAATATTGATCAATTGTAAGCATATGTACTGAATAAGCATCAGGGATGCCAAAAATTACATAATTAATTCAGACCTTACATGTAGAAAGTCTTGTATATTCTAAATAATGAAGAACCCTTTTCATATCAATCAAGTTCAACATCGACCTCACCCTTTATTTAAAGAGATATACATAGCACAGATTTTTCTTCTTAGGCTCCATGGCCCATGGGCATCATTCAGGCATAATGTATGACACATTATCACCGCACACTATTAAAATCAGGGGGGGAAAAAATTGACTAAAGACATGCAATACTCTACAATCCTGACCACGTTGAATATAAGTAGTTTCTCTGTAAGAGACAGGCAGAAGTGCACTGGTGAAAAATAAAAAAAAGGACGAGCTGAATTTGTCATGTATTCAACCTCAAGGTAAATGCATTGTTGAATACTAACCTCTAATTAGCGACAAAAAGAAAAAAGTCATATTATGAAAAACAAACAGCAGATGGACATAGATACAGAGAGTAATATAGTGCAACTCAAACTCAAACTGAATGTTCTGCCCCAACTATTTTCTAGAATGTCACAATTGTCGCCCTCCTGACTTAATTTTCAAAATTCCGCAAGCAGCCATGACACAAGTTGCCCATAACATGGATGTTTATGCCCCGAAAGTTACAGCTTTATAGAAAAAACGAAGAGATTGCAAATAATTGCTAGATAGATAAGACAACCCAAAAATCCGCATTTAATTGATATTCTTAAGATTAAAAAGATGCAACCATCCAAGAAGAACTAAAAGAACATAAAAACCACAAAGACTCTCTAGGATCCATTACACTTCGTCCAAGCAAGAAAACCATTGCAAAAGAGCCAAAAGTCCCAATTCCCGCGCCGCAAAATCGACAAACGGCAATGCAGAATCTAAATCGCTAAATTCAAACAATCACACAAAACGAACCCTAAAGCACAATTCTATCCTCCAACCATCAATACAGCGGCTAATTCTCATAAGATCATGAGGCGGAATACAAGGAAATGAAAATAACGACGCAGAGAATAGAAAGAAGAAACGGCAAACAACCAACCTGAAGTTTGAGAGAAAATAGAGTTGACAATTGAAACAGAGATCGCTGTTGAATGGTAAATCGTTTAGAAGGTGGGGAAGGGGAATATGGTAAAGAGAGAGATAGGTCTTTCGAGGCTCAAACTGAATTTGGTAGAATTAGGGTTTTGAAGAAAAGGGAGATCTGCGAGAAAAAACACCAGACTGCCT